GAGGGAGGGAGGGGCACACACAACAAAAAAAAATTGTACTTCAATGTCTTAATGATTGACAAATGATGACATTTGTGTTTTTTTTTAAAGAAAAATAAAAAAGTTCTGTTTGAAAAAAAAAGAAAGATGTGCCACCCCAACTGCCGTTGTGATCCTCCAAAATTAATAATCATCTATGTTTCAAGGTTATCAATTCTTTTAGCCATATAAATGCAGATGCCTATTAATATAACTCCCAATCTGGCAGCCCAAAGCCTCCTCTATTACTAGAGTCTTGTAACAGTGTCAGACTTATTCTTGCTTTTTTTATGTTGCCAAATAAATTTTGATACTAATCTATTTAATTCCCTCTCTATTTAATTGTATTTCTTTTCCAGCTTTATTGGAATTGTTTGGAACAGGTATAGTAATCTTGGTAGAGTATTCATTTTAATGTTAGCTATTCTTCCTATTAGTAATAGTTGCAAGTTTTTCCACTTTTCCAAGTTTAATTTGCTGTATCAATTTAGCATAATTATCTTCTTTTATAATTGCACATCTCTCTGATAAATGAATACCCAGATATTTTACTTTCTTCACTATCTGAATATCTATCTTTGCCATTAAATCTTTTTTCTGTTTGTTTGTGAGGTTTTTGACTAGAATTTTAGTTTTCTCTTTGTTTACTTTCAATCCTGCAAGCTCCTCATAGTCATCTATTTTCTTCATTAATTTGGGTCCAACTGTTTACAGTTCTTCTATGATAAATACCAGATCATCTGCAAATTCATGTAGTTTGTATTTTTCTTTCTTTTTAATCTCCATCCCTTTTATTTCTATGTCGTGCTGAATATTTCTGTTTAACACTTCCGATTTCAAAATGAAAGGGACAATGGACATCCCTGTCTTGTGCCTTTTTTGATATTAACATTCTCTGCAGTCTGTTTAGTATATATTGCCTTGATCATATTAATAAATTGTTCACTAAATTCTATATATTTTAATTGCCATATCATAAATTTCCAATTTACATTAAAAAGATCAGAGCCATTTGTTTTTCAGTATGCACTTCAGAATATTCCAACACATTCAAGATTATTGTTTGTACAATTTTCAAAACAATTAAGTTAAAAAAATAATAAAAAGTTAAAACTGGCCAACTTGGTTTTAAACACTAATTAATCAGACATATTATCCTAATATTAGCATTAATAAAATTTGTATAGTGTAGCTATGTCCAATCTGAACACCTCCAGATGTTTGGGTCTATCGGTCCTACAATCCCCAGTCAACATCATAAGTAGCATAGAAGGGTTTTTTTATTCAAAGTATTTCATATTATTTCCTGTCATAGTTATATCATGTTAATGTACATGTCCAGCATGCAGTATTGAAAGGGCATGCAAGTTGCAAGAAGAATAGCTTATTGTTAAGTTCATGGTAGAGGTAATTCCAAGGTAGTGGTTTTCTGACTTATCCATCTACAACTGTTGCAGCAGGATCGATTTAACAATATGATCAGAAGAAATCCCAGAAAGACAATAAAGATATTATTTAATAAATAATACCTTTCTTCATTATTTTCCATATGATTGGGAAAGGCACCGAATCCTAACAACAACTTTATAGCATCAAGGTAGCCATTGTTACATAACCAATGTAATGCTGTCCTTCCCTGTGGTCAATAAAAAAAAAACTGTAAATGAAATAATTTATATTGCCAAATTCCAGTTCAAACACAGAAATCATCAGACTATAATCATTCTTTACCTTATTTTGAACACAGAGGTGCAGAAAATAATAAAGTAAAAACAACTCACCGTAATGATAAATTATGAATGCTAACTGGAACACTCCCTCCCCTAGCCTGCCCCTTCCCGCACACTCCCCCCGCCCATCCACACCATGCTTGCCCCACCCACCCACTTCCTTTGCTCACTCAGCCGTGGCGCCAAGGCTGCAGATGGCCAGGGAGGTGTGGGGGGAATGCTGCCCATCTGCCTCTCCCTCCAGAAGCAACCGGGTGGGCTCTGGGATGGTCAGCAGCCCACATGCCATTGCCATGTAACCGCTCTGGGGATGCAGCACCTGCCCGGACGCAGCTGCAGTGGCAAAAGAACATGAAGGACAGGCTGTCCAGCAGAGTATTCCGAGGTCAGTGGGTTGGCGGGAGGTGGCAGGGAGGCAGGTCATCGAGGCCACCCTGGGTGCTTGCAACAGGATGCAGCAGCTGTTTGGTGGCTGCTCCTTTGTGCCCTGTTGCCGGTAGCAGTTGGCTTTCTCCTGCAGATCCTTCCTCTTCAGGCATCTGGATGGGCCCTGGGTTGGTCAGCAGCCCACGCGCTACCACCATGTGACCACTCTGGAGGTACAGCCAGGAAGAATCGCTAGGAGAATGCCAACTGCAGCCGGGAGTGTCTCCAGGTCGGTGGGGGAGGGGCAGGGAGATTGCGTGGGACTGGACCGAAGGTGGCAGGAAGGCAGGGGTCGAGGCTATGCCCCCGTACCAACAAAAAAAAGAATATCCCACTGTCCCGAAACTGCACCCCGAGGTAAGGGAAGAGGGTATTGGGAGAGACTTTCCCTCCCACTTCAGAGAGCCCATGTGGGGAGAGAGGAGGCGGCCTGGTTTGAACATGGGCAAGCAGCAGTGCCTCCTTCGCTTGTTTGGGCGGGCAGAGAAAGAAAGGAGGTGCGTGATAGCTGAGGCGCTCCCTCCGCCCTTGGTGGCGGGGGCGCTTTATCACACACCTTTCTTTTTATGCATGCCCAAATGAGCGAAGGAGGCACAATGACAAGGAGCGAAGGAGACGGCGATGGCAAGAAGCAGCTGCCAACGATGGTCGCCATGCCGGATTCAGCAAAAGCGGCTCCAGCAGCAATGGGACATGCTTGGGGAAGGGAGACATAATTGACTGCCTGGGATTGTGCTTCAGCCGCCGCTGTGAAAATGTTTGTTTTGCCAGCTGGGAGGCTAGCAAAGAAGCCTCCATTTCCGTCACCGCCAAATGGTCCATGCCCTCCCTCTAATGATTGACTCTGCATGAGGGAAAAAACCTTCTCTCCTGCTTCAGAGAGCTCATGCTGGGAGACAGGAGGAGGCAGGAAGGTTTGAATGCGGGCGAACGAGTAGTTTGGGGCCAGCGTCTCCTTTGCTTGTTTGGGCAGGCAGAGAAAGGAAGGAGGTGTGAGAGAAAGCACCCCACCACCAAAGGCGAAGGAGAGTTCCTTCACCCTTGGGTTTCGTGCACCTCCTTTCTTTCTCTGCCTGCCTGAATGAAGGAGGCAGGCAGCGAAAGAAAGGAGGTGTGAGAGAAAGATGGTGTGAGAGAAAACACCCCTGCCACCAAGGGCAAAGGAGAGCTCCTTCACCCTTGGCTATCGCATGCCTCCTTTCTTTCTCTGCCTGCCTGAATGAGTGAAGGAGGCACTCACTGGCCACTAAACTGCCTGCTCGCCTACATTCAAGCCAGCCTGCTTCCTCTCTCCCGGCATCGGCTCTCTGGAAGGGGAAGGATGGTTCTTTCCAAAGACTGGCTTCTTTTCTTCCCTCCTGTGGCTGGCAAAACAGACATATTCACAGCAGTGGCTGTACAATCCTGTGCAGATCTCCCTTCCCCAAGCTTTCGGCCTGGGCTCTCTGGAGGGGGAGGGAAAATCCCTTCCAAGACCTCGCTTGTCCTGGTGGCTCCCTGGCGATAGCAGCTGAGCGAGGGAAAGAAGAATTCTGGGAGTTGAAGTCTACAAGTCTTAAAGCTGTCAAGTTTGAACACCCCTGTTTTTTTTGTGTAAAGGGTTAGGGGTACAAGGGTCTTGTAACTTGACAGCTTTAAGAGTTGCATACTTCAAATGCCAGAGTTCCTGAACCAACATTTTGGTTGCTAAGCAAGAGCGTTGTTAAGTGAGTTTCACCACATTTTACAAGTTGGCCACTCCCACACGGTCACATGACTCCCGAGCCACTCCCACAAAGCAGGCCACACCTACAGAATAGGTTCTAATTTCTATATGATAAAGTGCATGGTTGGCAGAAGGTGTGAATTCAAACTCAAACACAGGCTGGCATTTATACTGACAGGGAGACTGTAGTATTGTGAATGAAGACAGGCTGTACATAACCAAGAAGCTCACTGGAATTGTACTCCCAAAATCATCCCTTTCTTCTTGCAGCAGGTCAATATTTATTTCAGTCCTGAAGCTTTGTATTTGGAGTATCCAGTGTAAAAAGCACTATTTTCTAATTCTTCTTTTTATAACAAAAATAAAGTTTTGATTTTATTTATTAGAAGAAAAACTTCATCAAACATGGCTTGGTGCCTTGCTTCATCCTGTCATCTAAAATTAGGGGGAAGGAGAAGAGGGACAAATGGGCAATAAATGTATAGGGATGTGATGGGAAATTAGAAGGGGGGAATGGCAGTCTGATGAAGACCAGAGAGGCACAAGGCCAATTTGTATCAGTCTCCAAGGCCACATATCCTGAGAATGGAATGTGGGTTGCCCCAAACATCTCAGCCATTCTCAAAACACCTATGCAGCGCTCCACTGGCTGAAGACAAACTGGTTAAGGGGGTTGGGTTGGGAGGAGGGGAAAATTTTAACTTTTTGCATGGGAATCTTACTTCTAGCCTGATATTACTGCAACCAGCAACCTTTAGTAAAAGAACTTGCCACTTCACCGAAATAGAGTGGAGGGTCTTTCTTTCCTAAGGGATCTGACAGTAAACTTTATCTTAAATTCTGAACAAAAGAAAAAACATATAAGATTAAGAAATTAAAGAAATTGAAACAACAGCAATAAGCTAAATAAGATTTTGATCTAAAAAAGTTACACATGGATTAAGGGCTAGATAAATGTGGAAATTGGCTTCTACTACAAGATTAGGGATTAATTATAAAAAATAAGTAGATTTTTATAGTAAACAGACTTAATTAATTACAATCCTGGCTATTGTAAGATAAGTGATGATTTTTGAAATTGGGTGCTAGGGGGAGTTAAAGAGACTAAGTAAATGGAAAAAATACAATCTTGTTCTTGAAATCAGTTAATACGGAAATTTACAAAATAACAAAAATATTGTAACACTGGAAATATTAAAGGAGATCTTTGAAGAATGGAGCCATAAATTAGTAACAACACTTAAAAGATGATGCCTGCTTCTATGATAGATTATGTCTAAAAAGTTAATGGAATGAATAAATTTCACCTAACAGAAATAAGACAGAAAATATGAAAAGTGGAAATACAATCGATAGGCAAAACAATGATTTGGAAAAGCATGCTTTCCTGGGCATAAAACAGAAAATGGGTGAAATTTTAAAAATTAAAAAGAAATTATGAACCAGGAGAATGACTTGAAAAATATTTTATTACTGGGTTACAGAACAGTGAAAGCTTTTAAAATATATGGATGATGTGATAAAAAATTATTGAAGAGAAATCAAATCCTAGGATACTCTGATTGAATTAAAGGTTAAGAAATAAAAGGAAGTGATATAAAGTTGGTTTGTTTGTTCAACCTTAAAATAAACATTTTTGCAAAAGTTTGCAAATTTATGACTTTTGTTGACAATGAGATTGAAAAAAATTTATGTTTTATAGATTTGTTTATAGATAAATGATGATATATGGGATGAAGAGATATCTGTTTCTTTGTTGCAATGAAGTTTGGAAGTACTTTTTTGTGTATTTCTCTTTCTTTTCTTTATTATTTCCTTTCTTTTTCTTTTTTCTCTCTTCTCCTGCACAAGGTTTAAATCTCCCTATCTTTCCATGCCAGAATTCTTATTTGGACAAGATCAACAACACTTACAATTTCCCTTGGAAAAAAGTATTTAATTTAATGAATGGGAAATTATTTTCTAATGTAAATTCCCCAAGCATACTAGGTATATAATGATAGTTTTTACTCTACGAATTTCTAGTGAAATTTGATGCTAAATCTTGGATAAAGCTTGCTATCCAAACAATATATTCCAATAGCAAGGTGTTATGTATACTATAATAAATAATATAGTAAAACAGCACATACCTCTTTGTCTTGAATATTTGGATCTGCATTATTTTCCAATAGTACCACCATACAATTAATATAGCCTCCATAAGCAGCACACTGCAGTGGAGTTCTACCTGCATAATCCTGTACATTAGGATTGATTTTATTTTCTATCAATATTTGGCAAACATCAGGGTTTCCTCCTAGAGCTGCCCAGTGTAAGGGAGAGTGGCCATCTTGATCAACTAAATCAACTCTTGCTCCTCCTGCAATAATAACATATGTTAATCCACGGAGTCTGTCTTAGTTGTTTATTAACAAATTAAGTATGGTGAGGCTATGCATATGTCCTTCCAACTTCCTTACTCAAGACCCCACTTTCAAAGTCTTGTCATGACAGATTTGAGATATGTTTATGTGCAGAAGATTGCCAATGAATCTACTTACTGACAATCCCAATGAAAGTATGTTTTGTACATGCACACAAAAGGCAGATACACATCTGTAATGTAGTTCTCTCTTCCCATAAAATTTTTTGGCATCCTGAGCAAAAAGTCGCCATCTGGTATGATACATATTTTTACATTTATTTTTCTTTCACTGTTCTTCCCTTGAATCTAGAGAATTAACTAGCTGATAATAAAGGTACAATGATATTACAATCAGAGATAAGAAACAAGCCAGTTTGGCAAACTATAGGGCCTCTATTACACTTCCCATATAGAACTGCTATGTTAAACCTGGGTATAAAAAAGAATATTTTCTAAAATGGTAACGTTAATGATATAATTTAACTAGCCACTTGTCATTTAGGATGTTATATTCAATTTTATGTTGGGATTTGTGATAACAGTAGTCTCATTTTTATATTTAATGTTCCTTTTTCTGATTATTTTCTTATCCTGAGTAAATTCTAAGACATATCTAAAATCTGCAGATAGATCACATGATAAAGAGTTTCCCCAAAACTGTTTAGGACCATGAAGATTGATAGCAAGAATAGATGATGCATAATTAAGTTTTTAATCAGTCAGCTAAAAATTTGGCAGTCTAAAAATTCTATCCATGTTGCAAATGATTATGTATCAAATGATAATAAAATACTAACCCAAATTACATAGAATACTTATAATATTGAAAACCAGAATTTGGTCCTGTAGTTGAGAATTCCTATCAGTCTATTTCCCTCTACAAAGATAAGTTACTAACTCTTCAAAATTTAAAATTTTCAGGAGCAGGACCCCTTAAATACATTTGAAATATTTCATAAATATGTTGGTTAAAATATTGTTTTTCCATTATCAATCACAAATTAATTCACAGTATTGGCTATCATTACTTTGCTCAATTCTAAAGTTAAAAACAGCCATATATTTATGAAAAAATGTAGGCAGCTGACCTTTAATGAGTGTCTGTATTACCTCCTTATGTCCCATTTCACAAGCACGAAAAAGAGGAGTGTGTTTCATTACATCAGCAGAATCTACCTGAGCATAATGCTTTAGAAGCAATTGCACAGTGCTAACATGGCCAGAAAGAGCAGCAGCATGTAATGCTGAAAGATGTCAAAAAGAATGCAGTTATTAAATGGTGTTTAATTAAAATAGTGAATATAACAAAACATAAACCAGACACTAAGATGAAGGATTGATATTTATATGCAGATGGACATCGCTCTCTTCATTTATTTCTTCTGTCATTGTCTCATGCTTGTTCCATTCAGTTGCATCTTATTTACATCTATACATATTAAATTTATATAAACTGAACATATGTATCTAGGATCTCTGATATAAATTTAGATCAAATAAAATCTGATGCTATCATTGAAATCAGCAACTTTGTTAAATAATAATTAATATAAAGGCAAACAAGAAGGGAATTCAAATCCCATATTTAACATACATTAAAATAAAGATATGGAGGGAAGAGAGCTGACGTCACGACAGCACAACGTGTGATCTTGGTGTTCCGAGATCGCAGTCGAATTCCTGCCACTGGACAGTCCATTTGGACCTAAACCATCCCGAAGAGATGGAGATTGAGAAGGGCACC